CACCTTCAGCATGAAAATTGCCCCCTAACCAAGGACTGAGTCCAGTTTATCAGATCTGGTACAGTTGCTAGCAATGTAACTACGTCGGAGAAACTCAAAGACTAGTCCGTATGTGAGTTGCCGCACACGCACGCGCGACAGTGCGGAGAAAAGATCAAGTCTGAAGTGGCAGCGCATTCGACGAGACCCACCCACACACATTCCAGTTCGATTAGGCTGAAATTCCGGCGTGAGCCGCGACATTAACAACTGTACTGACCTGCTCAACACATTATGGGCACAGCAATGAGCCGCTAGGGGAGCGCACAGCTGAACATATGTCCCTACGCCAATGCCGGGGAGCCCCAGGTGGAGGATCTATCATCACGCCAAATCTCAAACGCGGGTGATGAAATGTCAGCGGGTCACGACCCGCACACCGGCCCTCAGGCAATAAGTACAGCAGTGGACAATTATCCTCAATAAAGGAGGGAATCATTAATTGTCATAGGTATGCAGTAGCCCAGCGATTGAGTCCGATGAATACTGCAACTGCTTGGGCACGGAGTACCGAGCTACTGTCTGTTATAACGGTGACTTCAGTGTGTTGTCACCATTTAATTACGCCCTTTGGAATCCCCAAAGAACACAATAAGAAGGGCATAACTTTGGAATCCCTCCGGAGGAGAGTTTATTGTGCACAAAAGCCGGAGTTGTTTTCTCGGGAGGTAGTTGCCGCTGGTTGATCTGCAGCGCACTGTTTGTCTCGCCTCGGGGCGAGCCCGGGCAATCGGGACCGGACTGGCGGTGTCCTCGTAGTCCGTGTTGCACCTCACTGTCTGAGAGGAGACAGTGGCTTATAAGTGACTGTCAAGCGCACTCGCTTGTGGCATCATTAGCCACATTGGGATAAGGTCACGCGACCAGTTGGCCCCTAAGGAAATGCGTCAAGGTGGCACGTGTGTAAGCTTGCGTGCGTGTGCGTCCAGTTTAAGGTCATCACTCTGGGCACAGCCCACCGAAGGAATATGACCTTGGAGGCAGTCCCTTGTTGACAAAGGAATAATTGTGGCAGTAGGCGGCAGGCACGACGCCTCAGGGAGCCTGCAAACGTTGCCAGCATTTGGTCAGGCTACACTCCTAACACTGTGCCTGATGATGGGTTCGAGAGGGAATCCGAAAAGTTCGGCGAATAAAGGCGTCTTTCTTGTCGAACATTTCGCTAAGTGAACTACCGTTTTTAGCCATACAGAAGTTGACCTTAGAGTAACTCCCATCTACACAGTCTCGTCAGGCGTGAAAATGGATCGTACAAGATCTAGTGCAGTTAAGTAAGCAAATTGGGAGCCGTCTGGGGACACAAAGTTGCCGTTGGTGTCAAGAACAATGAGAGCTTCTACCAAATAAAACGATAACGCAATCGAAAACTCATATGCAATCGCCACAATGAGGATCCCATTCGCCTAGATTCTCCGACAAGGCCATCACGAAAGACTGCTGCAGAGAAGGATGACGAAGGGGAAACAGAGCCGACATGGGAGAGTGTTTCGATTTACCTACGCCTCATTGTTGCGTTAAAACATGAAAGCAAAAACATTTCACGTCACTTAGACTTTCCAAAAGGCGGTAGTTCGTTACGCTTGCACCGAAAATTTCAAGACAACCCTAGACAATGTGGAAACGCTATATAGAGGAAGGGGCGTCCAGTACATGTATAAAAACCTTTTCAGGCACTTGGGAGGCGTTGATTACATTAACTTTAATGAGCGTCGTCTAACCCGGACAATTTTGAAAACAGGCAAGGAGATTATGAGGACTACTAAGGCATCGCAGCGGTCAACCCGATGCGATGATGAGTGACAGACAGTGAACCGAAATTCAGTAAACACTATTCAAGAAATGAGTGGGCTCCCGGGTCTGACGAATAAGCAATCTAAAACCACGGAGAGTCACACCGTTGGATATCTATAGGAAAAGTCGATTACGCACGAAGAGGTCACGAGTCAATAGCATTACGACATGTCGCGTTTAGTACAGCACTTAATAGCACAGCTCTGGAGCCTACAAATGGAGCTTGCAACCGAACCTGTAAAACAAACGGAAATCATACCTTCACCAAGTAGACCCGCTTAACCTATAACCGGCAGACTACGAGTTAAGCCGACTTGCGCACAACCATAAGGCCATGGTTCACACTTTGTACGCGGATTTGTTTTGAAGCCATTTTCAGCCAAAAACAGGCGCTAACCAGAACCTCAGAGCAAGTATCGGAAGCCATGGTGGCCCTGAATCAAGAAAAAAGCTGCTACTGTCCAATAACAAAACCCGACGTGCTCTGAGAGGGCGGCTTAAGCAACTGCCTTGAAAACGTTTTGGGTTTTCGCACTAATACAGAGTGCAGGATTAGGTCACTAAGAGAGGGGGTGGGGACATTTGACTCGAGATCTCAGTCTAAGTGAAGAGACAGCCAGACTCAACCAGTGAGCTACGAGATGGCAGTGTAACGTACGCATTTCATTGATGTCTCGCAAGTTTCCGGCTACCTCTTCGCAGCGCAGATGAGAGTGACGAGACCGCGGACGTTGGGAGTCCAAATCCAATCGGGGGAGCGAGGGCAGCTCCAGCTGTTGCTGCTGTTCACAAGTTTTGGCATTAAGGCGTTCTGGGGCGCTGGTCGGTCTGAACTTTAGCAGATTGAGTACCGCCCGGAGATCGGCCAGCGCATCTGCTATATAGGACTCATTCTAAAAGGGCGAGACGGCAAAACAGTTGGTAAGGTAACACCATCACCCACCATTTGTTAAGCACATATAACCACCTACTTATTTCGTAGCAGTAGCCATGTTCTATTTTATACATAATTCAACGCCAAAGTTTGACATGGTCCAGTGCATATTCCATTGCTCTCAGCGGTAACTTATCCTCAGCCTAGCCAGCAGGCGGCTGCCTGCTGAGCTGGATACCTTCAGAGTTTAGGAAGCTTTTTAATGATAGGGATATGAGTGCAAAGACCATTTGTCAAACACAGGAGAGGCAAAAAATACCCTCTTGGGTGGCCTGTCCCGAATTAACGTCTATGCATGAAAGCAGCCCGCTTAGTACTGACAAAAACATTACAACTGCAATCATGTCAGTAGTG